ATGTAAAAACTTTCTGGACTTTTATAAGGCCCGGTTATAAAAGTTCGCTTTCGAGAGATTGGAACTTTTATAAACAACTCTTAAAAGTCTAACCATTTTATTGTAAATTTTATCTTAAGAAAAACACTTGCACCCATGCCCATCGTTTAATATTAAAAGTTTATTTCGTTAATTAGCTAGTCGGTCCTATTTCAGTTTTTTTATAAATCCAAAGTTATTTTTACATCTCGAAACTCGTGCAAGAAGCTCATGATAAATCTCTAAATCTCTAAATCTCAATCGTACCTTCTCTGTGGGAACGATCTCGGTACTTTGTACCACTCTATTACTTGCAAGCGATCATAGTGTCGGCGTATACTTGCACCGACATTGTGCGGACATTCTGCCCACTAGGAATACGCGAACGATCCTAGCCTGTCACCTACTTTGTGAAACACTACTGTTCACATACGGCCAAAAGCCTGTACATCTGAACAAAAGACAAGCTCACCTCTAGAAGCTTGTCACGTGCTATGTACCGTCTGACTTGCATTAAAGCAACAAGTATAAATAGCTGAGAAGTTCTTCCTTCTCAATTTCTCACCACCATCCACTAACCTCTAAACAGTGAAGAACGAAGCAATCTATACCAATAATTCTTCTTCTTGAAGATCATATATCAATCTAAGAGAAAGGCTTCCTTCCTAGCACAAGACTTCTTAACCTTCTCTTTTAGCAAGTCTTTTCTTTCTTGTTCTTTGTAATTTGTATGTTTCTACGATTGTTTAGATAAGTTCTGTATCTTATATTTTTCGCAAACAATCTATAAAATTATGTATTGATCTTCTTTATCAATAAATTTTTTTTAAAAGTATAATGTTTGTATTAATCCCCCTTCTACAAACTGTTATCTATAAACTCTTGTAGATACCATTGGGACCAAGAAAAGCATTTGTGTCAGTTCTAGTGCCATTTAGGAGATGAAAATTGTAAGTTACAGACCTCGTGAACATCAATTGATTGGTATGCCCCAACTCAAGTAAGCAGTTTGTTGATTTGTTTTTATATCCATTTTCTTCAACCAGAGGAAACTCTACCACCACTTCCTTCCCAAATGAGCAAAGAAGCTTTCATAATGTTTATTCAATCTCCGGTGCAGAAACATCAATCTTTTTCGACAGTGAGGCTATGCCTTAGGGAATTGATTGCATTTTCACCAAGTACGTGATTAACCAAAAGCAAAGAAATATATAGAATGAATAATGTGATAATGGGGAAATATAAATCCCAAAACATATGTTTCAAGAACATGGGTTTATTTAAGATCTATATTTGTTCCCAGAACACGAGTTTCAATATTTTTTTTTTCCAGAACATGGGTTTCAAGAGAAGCAAAATGGTTGTCGAGATAGAATCACATAGTAGTTGTTGAGTTTCTAGTGATCAATTGAGTAGGGAAGAAGGAGGATGAACGATAAGGGGGATGTTATGGTGGTCGAAGTTAAGGAGGGAGAGGCCAGAGAAAAGGGACGGGCACCAAAAAAGACTTTCTTGGGGGACGAAGATGATGTTGTAACACATACACACATACATATATATGTTATTTTTTAAAAGAAAATAATATAATGAACGATATACCCCTGACTTAATGGAACTAAGGTTAATAGAGTTAGAGGATGGAACTAAGGTTGATGGAGTTAGAGAAATAGACCAAATGGATAACAATGGAAACTACATTGACTATATATGTAATTATTTAATTTAGGAGATTCACAATATAATTATGACATAACCATATGCACAAAAATCTATAATTTACTCTTTATATTAAGGGGGTGTTTGGGATTGCTTATAAAAACTGTTTATTGACTTATTTCGGTGTGGTACCTGTAATAAACAGTTTTTAGTGTTTGGATGGGGGAAAAAGAAAGATGCTTATACCGGTGTCAAACCGGTAATAAGGAGTTTCTGATAAGTTACTCCCATTTAACTTATCAGATTCAACTTATTAGGTTTGGAAACCAATTTACCTTTTTAACCTCATACGACTCCTTCCTTTTAACCGGTTCATATGTCTCCTTCCTCAAGCAACCAACTCATCAAGGGACCTTCAACCATTCCTTAGAATTCGAACCAGTTCCAGAAATTGAACCAGATTTCTTGATGTGATTTCTTCTCCATCAACATAAACAGATCGAGACCTTCACCTATAGAGATCAAAAATTGCATCTCTGATTGAAACCTTCACCTTAAGAAATCGATCGAAACCTTCACCTACATAAATTAAAATAGAACCTTCTATTGAAACCTTCAACCAATTTCTATAGAAATTGAAAAAGGTTTAGGGTCTTCCTTCAGGATTACTTTCTGAAAAGGGTTTAGGGTCCTTTCCTTACATAAGCAACATTCGATAACAGTTCATTATTTCTCATATCTTTTTTAGTCATTTTATATGTGTATACAAAATTTACTAAACATTAAAAAACAATTTATTACGTTTTGATTATGTCATAAGGTGACCCAAACACTTTTTATAAAACTTCAATCTAATACCATATAAGTTGATAAGCGGAAAAAAACATAAATTATTTCAAACACCCATGATTGCTTTCTATTCTTGTCGAATGCTGCACATGTAACATGATGTCATATGGTTCCTATCTTGTCCAATGATTTTGAAATTACCAGAATATATGTACTTTAGGGTTTTCCCAGTTCGATTCTTACTGCTTCAATCGAAGTGATCTCCGATATAGCTCGAAGGCAGCAGGTTAACCTAACCTAAGTTACAGCTTCATTTCTCTCTTTATTCGCATTGATCTCTGCTAATTTTCTTATTTGTTTTCTTAATTTCATCAGATCAGAAGTGAAATGACTGGTTTCAAGCTCTGGTGGATTAAGGGAACATTTGCTACTTTAATGCTATTAATTCCTGGAAATTTAGCATGGGGAAAAGAAGGTCACTATGCAACTTGTAAAATTGCTGAGGTAAAACTATTTCCATTATTTTCCACTTGAAATTTTGTATTAAGCACTTTTAATCATTATTTTGATGCTTAAGGTTGCATATTTATGCAATGTTGTGTTCTTTTGGTTTAGTAATGAGGACTGGTGTCCTGTTATTAGTCTGCGAATCAAATCAAGAACATACTAAAACTATGGTAGCAAGGATTGATTGCTTAAATTTGAGGAAATTTTCCATTCAAATCTAAGTTTTGTATCAAGTTTTGTGTCAAAATTTGAGGGGTATTAGACGAAAGGTTCTAGTTGACGTATTCACTTCTTTGGAAACCAACCATGTTTGTAGTTGGTACCCTTAAAACTAGCCATGCTTGTTATCTTTTATAATTTTCTTAACAAAGTGATATATTGGTGTTTGTAAAAAGACTTGAACTCACATTGATACTAGAGGCTTCCCAAAGACCGAGACATTTCCATTTTTATTAGGGCATCTCCAATGGAGGTTAATGGGGAGGATCATGAATGCTATTACATGCATCATGCATTGTGAAGGGAGGTTAATGGGAGTTGCATGGAATAGAGTTTCATGGCCATTGTACTCATCATAGCTAAATCAATGGGACCCACTAATTTATTTTTTCTTTTATAATTAAATTTGTAAGGATTTAATTATGATATTATATATATATATATA